TGAAGTCACCCATGAGGACAAGGGCCTGTGAATGTGAGGCTTTTCCTATCTGTCAGTAGAGTGCTTCATCCACAGATTCCTCCTGGTCAGGCGGTCTGTAACAGATCCCCACAGTAATGTCTCCCATAGCTATATCCCCTTTAACCCTGACCCACAAACTCTCTGTTAACTGCTCCCTCTCCCCAGACACAGTTCCATACTCTCCAGCCTATCCCTAACATAAAGTGCAACTCCCTTTCCCCGCCTGCCAGGCCTGTCCTTCCTAAAGAGCCTGTAACCTTCCATTCCAACACTCCAGCCATAGGAGCCATCCCACCATGTTTCTGTGATGCCTGTTATATCACACCCCTGTAGACATGCACACATCTCTAATTCCTCTTGTTTGTTCCCCATGCTACGGGCATTTGTATAGAGACATCTGAGCCGAGCTCCAAATGAAGCCGGCTCATTGGCTGGAGCGGCTGGGATATCTCTACATTGCTCCAGGCATTTATTATAGGTGCTGGCAACTGACTGGAAGTGTTGGGATGGAATGATGCCTCCCTCCCCCAACACATCTAGTTTAAAGCTTTGTTGACCAGCCTGGCAAGCCTCCTACCAAAACAGCTTTTCCCCTTCACTCTGAGACCAGCTCCACCAGCCTCCAGTAGACCTGCCCTGTCCAATTGAGTCCCATGTTCTAAATACCCAAACCCCTGACTATGGCACTACTGTTCTAACCATTTATTAACCTGCCAGATCAGCCTCTTTTAAAGGACTAGAATAACACAGTAAGAATTGCAGATTTAAAGGCAGTAACATTTGAAGACTCTGAAAAGTTACTCAATAATAGTCCAGAAGTAACGGTATCTAATCACTCATTTCAATTTTAAGTGCAATACCCCAGTTCAAGATTCATACAAAGGAATAGGCTTGGAATGGGAAATATGTGATTTTACAGAAAATAATTTGGATCACTGTGCTGGACAAAATGAAGACTATCAGTCTATTTAAGCGTGAGGAAAAAATAACCTACTGACATTATCTTTGTATTCTTTTTCTGCTAAAGTGATACAGATACCAGCTAACAAAAGTTCTCTTCCATTTACTGCCTTGAGCCTTCCTGTGACAGTCCAAATGAGACGAGCAAATAGCAGTTGGAAAATGGTAAAGGTGCATCATAACCAAACAGGCGAATAAAGTCATTGGAACTTGCCCTTGTCAGAGATGCAACAATGTGATCGGAATTGCTGTATTTCCCGACAAGAACAGAACTGTCCAGACTGTACCAAGCATTCACATCCTCCTTCTGTCCATTAAACCACAGAGGTAAGTGGACTAGATCATCCTGGTCTGCAGTCAAAGGCAACAGGATAATAAATGGTATGAAAAGCTATTTGTGGCAGGCTGGAGTGCTTTAAAACCTGAGAACATTTCCACTGAAGGACAATCCTGCCACTTTTCCTCTGTGGACAGTTCTATACCACACAGCTCCAAGCATGGAAGCAGCAGCAGCCACGCTCACGTCTGTAACTGCTCATCTGCTGGAGCACAACACATTGCTACTGTCTGAAATTACAAAGGACCACACTACAAAGCAACAGGCTGCAGACTCTAGCTGAATTATTAGATTTATAGATGTATATATAAATTCTATAAAAAATATGTATTTTTCAACCTCATACAATTCATCACAGCTCATTGATCCTGCCTGTCCAGGTAGCTCTGTAGGGACACACATATATAAAAATAAATATTTATAGATTTATAGCTTAGGACACAGCCAAAAGGAAAGCAGATGTTTAAGAAGCAGCCTCATGCATCTAAGGTGGGTACCATGATCTATTCACCTCCAATGTTACAAAAGCCAAGCTGGCCACAGGCTCGTCAAGACACTTAGTGTGTCTGCTGGGAAACAAGCTGCTTGACAAGGCTTTTCTCTTTGTGTGAAAGAAATGGTTGTGACACGCTATTGCCATCTGCATTCCTGTCATCACTTGTTTGTGCTGCTTCTTCCATACCTAATACTTCTTTTGGATCTTAGTGCACAGCCTGGGTTGTTGGCATCAGGAACCTTTCCTTGCACTTCCTACAATCTGAGCGTTTATTGCAATGCCTTGAAATTTGTTTCTTATTTCAGAGCTGCGGCTATATTAGCCAACTTATACCACTGCGCTAAATACAAATAAACCAGTATTGTACAGTCTACACATGCTTACACTATTTGTCATTTAAACCCCTGGTACTGAGAAAGTCTGTAGTGTTTCTGTGTTGGAAGAATCGAAAACTTAGCCTCATGTATGGAAAAAAATGGGAGAAGAAAGATGGAAAATTAGTATTTATATACTACATGTAAACACGTGCCATGCTTTAAAGAGCTCTGAACACTGGCTGTGGGATTCTTCTCTATCCTTACAAATTCAATCCTGCTTTTTAATTTAAAGGTCAAACTGTACATGCAAGCCTGCAAGATTTCAGGTCTTGGGGGCCAGAGCGGTTCTCATTTAGCACCAACCAACAGAACAAACCCAAACCACAATCTCACTGGTTTGGAAAGCCACTGAGGTTCACCAGCTCTGACAACAGCATGTTAATACACAGCCCTGTGGGCACCCATCAGAATTTCATATTTTTTAAGCTGTCTACTCATGCATAATATGAATATTTATCCATCCCTTGCTGGTTGTTTGCCAGAGATTTATTTTAAGCTCCTTGTTTCTGGTGTAACAGATATTTTCTTCCCCTTCCCATCTTTGTCTACACTGTCTTTGACACTGTCAGCATCTCCCCCTGAGAAAGAAAATTAGAACACCCCACAAAACTCAACACAAATCCCCCCTTCAATATTAATGGAAGAACAGAGGAAGGTTAGTAAAAATGTCTTTTGACCTTCACAGTTTTTTACTCAATGACATAAGATGAATTAGAAAAAAATATAAGCATATCTTAAGGTCAAAAACCTCATCAGCTGATAAATTTGTCATTTTGTACACCACAAAACTGAGTTGAAATAAGGTATTCAGTCATATTTCCATCAAAACTTGCTGGTGTTTTACTTAGGGCAGAGAAACTCAAGCATTTCAGTATGTAATACAGTATTTTACACAGTTCATTTGGAGTTCAGAATAGTTTCTGCTCTTTTATACTTTTTATGGGATAGACTTTGAAATTGCATTTCTCAGTTTGCTGTTAATATCCACATCTTGGGCTGAAGAGTTTATTCTCTGCTTCATGCACATGTGTTGCTCCCATTAATGCTAATGGAATCGAGTTAAAATGGAGCACTGAGGGAGAAAAAAGCACTTGCTAATCCTTTATAACCTTACCACAAAGAAAAGTGATTTGTAAACCATGTGAACCCAAAGATCAGGTACAATAGCTGCTGACTACTGTGCTTGGGAGTTACAGGCTATTCCTTGAGTGCCGGGAGGAAGAAAGGATAAGCCATGAACTACAGAAGCAGGACTCTTCAGTAACAGATGGCTATTGATTGTAAAAGCCAGTGAATGATTGTCTTTTTTACAGTGGTACAAGTGGCCCCTGAACTGCCAACCTTGATTCAACCCTTGCAGCACTACAAAAACCAGCATGACCTCAGCTGTGCCCAGCCTGGAGAGGAAAAGCCAGTGCCTCCTACCATGAGCATGTGCTGCCCCACTGCTCTCCCCACAGAACCCAGGGATGGATGTTTGGGCTGGGTTTCGATAACAGACAAAGTCTTTCTTACATTCATGCTCCATGAGCAGTGCTTTCCTAGCTATTTGCTGTGGATGCCTCCTTAGGGCAACCCAGATTAAGAAATGCCCAGAATCCACTCATACAGAGATCTAAGGCTGATCTAATTGCCTGATCATGACATTATTTGCTGAAATGGGTTCTAACTATAAAAAAACCAAGGGTTCAAACTTGCATTGAAACATTTTAAAGTATTCCCTATGTACTGTAGAAATAACTGATGGGGAGAGCCTCTAACTGAATACTATTCATCAATGCCAATATAAGAGAGAATTAAAACTGACAGTATTAGAGCTCTGTGATTAATTTATTGCTTTGTAATCAATCTTGCCTGGTTTGTTATCCAATATAGTTTTTTTCCCAAATAAGAAAGAGATGGAGAGTGATTATAAGTGTAATAATCCATATGTTCATTGCCTATAATAATTCATCAGACATTGGAATACTCATAAGCAGGCCAAAAATTAGAGACATTTGTCAGCGTCTCTCATTGTTTCTCATATTATTACTTCAAAAATCATTGTCAAATGTTACAGCTTTTACTTTTCTAAAAAATATTTGACATAAAAATTCTGAATACACATGAATAAAGACTCAGAATTCCTGAAATGCAAAACTTGAGCCCTGGATAGGAAATAATGAAAATAAGAGTTTGCGTGTCTCTTTGAAAATCACAACATTGCACTGCAAGGGTGAAACTCTTGCATTCTTCTGCAACAAGACAAGATGTATAAAAGATTTTACAGGGTTTTTAAAAAGATGGTAAAAGTTTAGGAATAATAAGAAATGAAGTTGAACTAGATAAGACACGTTTCTAAACCTCAGCATGCTGAGGGTAATGTTTCCCCATGGGTACGCCACGGCTTTATGGAAGTCCTTTGCAAAGCTGAATCTCAGGACACAGCTAGCTGCAGTGACAGGAAGTGTTTCTCAAGCATAATTACTGGACATTACTAGAAACAAGTCATACAATGATATGGACCAGGAGCCTAGCTTTGTGTTACAATTCCCATGTCATTTGCAGTATAGTTTTAAACTACAAGTGAAAGCAAATACATTAACTTGCTGTAAGCGCCATGAGTCAGTCCAACCACAGACACCTTGCTCTTAATGTTTATAACCCATGAGGCTCAGCAGGTTTCTGAGATGCAAAAGACCTTTTAATGCCCCTGGGCTTCACTCACATCAGCATCAAAGGGGAAAGGTACAGCATGCATATGGCTGCTTGGGATGCTCTTTGGTGCTGAGATGAAGTATCAGTCATACGTAATAAAACCTGCAATTACCTTTCACAACCAAGCTGCCCGTGCTGCTTGCTGTCCCAAAGTGGTTTGTTGCCACACAGGTGTAACTTCCCGCGTCGGATTTGGTAACGTTGACAATCCGGAGGCTCCCATCATCCAAAACAGTGATTCTGGAAAGACAGCAGGGACAAAAGTTTAATGATTTTAAATCAACATAAAACTATTTTGAGTCTTCATTAATAATTGATGGTCTGAACAACAGAAAGTCCATTGCCCATTATTACAGAGGGAGTTTAGCTGGCAGAAATCTCTCAGGACATCATTCATAAATACTGAATGCATCATTTACATGAGTTTTCTGTGTCTTTACTTAAGGGCAACTTTAATTTACACACCAGCAGCTTGTGTAGGTTTTACATGTGTCTGTACTTTGATATTCAGCACTCACCATGACAACCCCTGCAACATGTGGTACACAGGCTACATCTCAAATTCTCCACGCTCGCTGCTTAACAGTGTAAAAGCTTGTACCGAACAGATGCAGAGAAGCAGGTGTTTCATTGCTGCTTTGGCTTTTCAGCAAGGGTACCACACTGCCAACCTTCCCTTCCGTGCTCCCCAGCTCTCTGTTTGCAGTGTAACAGCCCGTGGGGCTTATCTGCAGTGGCACTTGCAGGTTAAAACAAAATTACCCTATTTCATTCCCATCCTGTCCTTGCATATGCACTCCCAGTCAAAACAGTGCTGGTATCTTCAGCGGTACATATGTCTCAGAGGGTGCAATGCAGGCGAGGATGGCAATTTAATCCCCAGCCCTTCCTCTTGCACAAGGGCTGTATTTCAGGTTTTCCTTGTGCTCACAATTTGCTTTGTCTTCTGTGCCATTTTCGCCTCTGTTCCAAGTCAATGAAGACAGAGAAACTGATCCTGCCCAGTAAATCCCATCAAAACATGAATTACTTGTGCCCTGTAAAAGCATAATCTAAGGAGACTCCAGAAAAACCTTTCCCCCAGGCTATTATCACCTCTTTCAGCAAAATACTTGGTTTTCTGCTCACTATTAGGTTTTGCAGCACAATTTGCTTTCTCTCCTTCAGTCACTATCAGACCGGCATTGAAAAACCTTGTATTAATTCCTGCATTCTCCAGCTCAATTATTTCCCAATTTAACTAATTTGAAAGAAAGCAAAGAAGCCTTCCTGCATCCTTAATGCCAATCAGAATCTGCACAACTGGACTGAGAAATGAGGAAGAAAGAAAGCTAGCAAACAATCCTTGCACCACTGCAGAAGTGTTCAGATGGCACTTCCCACCTGAGAAGGCTTTAAGAAACAGACTGCACGAATCAGCACAAATCTTTTCTTGCATCCATGGGACAGCACTGAGGCAGCTAAATAAAGTACAGGGTGACACAAGGCACAAAGGACATCAGCCCATGCCAGCCCTGGGGCTCCCCAGCTGCCAGTTGCAGCCACTGGGCTGAACCAACATGGTCTGCAGCGAGACTCAGGAGATACCATCTCACTGAAGGGACCTGGTGCAGGTGCCTTTTGTTATGCCATACTCTGTTGATGGGCACACACGGGCTACTCAGTCCACGTGCATAGACCTGCTTAGAAAAATGGGACAGTCTGAGTGTCTTTACAACAACAGTACTAAGCGAGGAGGAGAAAGACAGTGCAAGATGTTCCAACAGCAGCCAATAAATCTCCATCCTGGCTAGCCTCTCCCTGACGTGCTCCTGCAGCAGCACAGCAACATGCAGGCCAGCTGCCCAAGACCAGGGACAGAGGTTATATTTCACACATCAGTAGCAGTGATATTAATAGAAGTTTCTCAACTGGCTTATAGGTCTCCAAATTGTTGCAGTCAGTAACATTCACTACTGTAATTTATTTTTGCAGGAGTCCAGTGCCATGTATTTGCTTCTGTAGCAGTTGCTCCAACTCAGTAATTGGAAGAGAGTAGTATATAGCTACTTGTCTCTTATCTTCACTACTATGTTGGCACAAATCAATGCACATATTACATTAAATGTGCAATGGAGAACAGGACTTGCCACACTGGCCTCCAGTGCAGGAGCCTGGGCAGCAGCAGCACCAGGAGCTCCCAAGGAATTATTTACTGCTGTTATCAATTTCAAGTCTTGGGAAACAACAGTGCCTTTCTGAAAGCTGAAGGTGCCCTTGGCATGCATTAAAATTCAAATCAATATAAACGACAGAACAAGCTCAGCAATATGCTCCAGCTCAAGAAGGACCACCTAGCTCCTGCACTGCCCCTGCCAGGCTCTGCATTCTCTCCCTGCACAGTTGTGCCATCCCAAGAAATCCAGATAAAAGTGATGGTTTAGACTATTTCTGTACAGTTGAGATTTTATTTTTATTTATGTTTTCTTTTTAGCCATATGGTTGGAACCTATTTACTGCATAATCTCTTCCATAGATCATTTTAATTTTATCTGTTAATACAGCCAGCTTTATTTTCAAATTCTAATACCTTTTCTATCTCTTTCTCATGTTACTGGTTTCCTTCTAGTTATTTTTATTCCCAGTGTAAAATTAGCTTGTAGTTAATCTGAACTGGATGACTCTAGAGACGTTCTTCGGATGAGGACAATTAGTCCACCATCAGCTTTGGCAAATCTCAGCTAATGCTGTCTTTATTTCCTTCCCTTTCTAAGCAGAAAGCCATGCTTGGTTGGCTTTACAATTTGAGCACACAGACATGCTTTAACCCTGGTAACATGATGCAAAGAGTTCAGGTGAGACTTGCACCAAGGTCTCCAAACCCTTTCCCAGAGAGTCCCATGCACGTTTAATTCCCATATAGTAACAAAGTAATTCCCTGCACACTCCTGTAAACCACCAGTATTAAAACAATCATGCAAGTTATTCTTTTTTAAAGTAAATCAGACCATTAAAACCTTACTGTGACTCATTGATTAGGAGGCCCTACAGTTATGTGGCTCCTTTTGCTGAAGGTGCTTTTCTACACTGAATGTTTTGTCCTCTAATTTGAATCCAATGTGTTAGAAATTAACAAGTAATTTATTTAACACTTTGAATTTTGTCACAGTTAGTTCAGAAAGCAGGAAGGACTTTCACTGTTTTGCTAATTCACAAATTTTCTTTGCATACAGATCTGCATCAAGCGAGAGGAGAGGCTCATTTCAGGCCACGAGGGTTCTCAAACTGCTAATTGGCTTGAAAGCAAACATCAGCCACCTCATCAACCACTTCTAGCAGTTTGATTGGAAAAGTTCTGTCAAGACACAGAGTTCAAATTAAATGAAGCACTGCTCAGTACGCTTTCTTCCTCTTCTGACATACCTCTCCACTCCCGAATGTTTTCTAATAAGATGCCTAGGAAGATGCAAAACCAAATCATGTCTCTGATAAACACATGCATTCAGAACATAATGGTTGCTGAGTGAGGATGCACCTCTCTAAACCAATATAAACTCAAAAAATGAGCTACTGACCTGCTATCGAATGTTCTGGGTTCCCTGACACCACTAACCACAACAGTGGTAACAACAGCTAAAAATCTAAAATTCCTCTTGCACAGGTTAACGCAACTGCTCTAGTGCTAACCTGCCTCATGGTCACTGCAAATAGCAGAGAAAAATCAAAGAAGATAAAAATACCCATTTGAAAAAGAAAAAGATGATGCAAGATAGTTCTGCATCTTTACGTAAAGAAAGGTCATCTATTTTAAACATAGCAATTCTAAGTTGGTCTGTGTGTCAACTGGAGATTTCAGTCCCATGGAGAGCAGAGACACATCTGAAATTAGGAGATAAAAGGACTGTTTGTTTCCTAAACTGAAGCTTCGGGTTCTACCCCAGGAAGAGCTGACCTTGTCAGTATTTTGATCAAAACTCTTCTGGGGACAAAGGACCTTTAAAAATGCTGAAAACATTCTTCCCTAGCAATCTTTTCCTATTTTGTTTCTTTTTTTGCCATTGCAGCAGCAAACGTAAAAAGCTGCAAACTGAACACTTTGCATCACCCTAAAGAAACCTGCTCCTAACCGAGAGGCACAGAGATTCCATAGCAGTTTCTTGTTGATGCCGTATTCCCGATTCCTGCATGTGCCCTTTCCCAGCTCTGCAGGTGTGAATGCATCTTAAGTTGGCAACATCCTTGAGAAGTTGGAAGAAAGACAAGTCATCATGGATGACCTATATACCTAAGTGTATGCTGCAGCTGCACAGAGCTCTTCTATGAAGATACCCAAGCTACCTAGAAAGGACCCACACTTTAGCACCACAGCCACATCAGCACAGTCCTCTGCTGAGATCAATACAGCAACGTTAACTTGCCCAGTGTCTCCAGCAGCAACTGGAGACGGATGGAAAAGGTCAGGCAGACCTGGAGCAGTATGAGGAAAACCAGCAGCACATAATCATTTTGGTCTGATCTATTAGCACTTATTTTTCGGCTCACGACACATCCTCTGTATCTGTTAAGTCTCCCGTCAGCAGGTTGTGTTACCTGCAACCCCAAATTAAGCACAACATCTGATTCATGCAGCTCACCACAGCATTCTGCACTGCTGGGCAGGATTCCCAGGAACAGATAAATATCTCTCAGTCAGTAACGTACGCATTTAGGGATAAAACTTGTCCTGATGAGAACAGTTAAGAGTTTTATCACTGACTCTTTGAAAACAAGATCAAGCCCTTATTTCGAATATAAACAATGACTGAAAACTGCCAAACCCCCAGAGCACATCATAAAACAGAGTACCAGTAATTACCTCCAGCCCATCTCCGAGGAAATCTGACCTGTGGGTGCCTGACTGTATCTAAAAGCATGCCTATGACCTGCTGCTCAGGTTTGACCTCAAGCTTTGAAAGAATGTTTGCCTAAAAATCCTAGACTTACGGTACCTACTGTAACATCTTGCACTGCTGTTTCAGCAAAAGAAAATCTATGTGGGTCCAGGAGCCAAACACCTCAGCACCACAGAGCCACGGGCTGTTCAACCTCACCTGCACCTTTCAGTTGCCTGTTGAAAACCTTTGCAGAGATGAGCAGCAGGTCCATGTGCTAACCTTTTCTTTGTGAATTATCTTCTAACTCACAAGGCACACATATTACCAATAGATCTGCACCAGACAGATGATACTGCAGGTATCCCTCAATATCTTCTACACAGCTTG